AAATTTAAAGTGACAAGAAACGTACTGATTGTGGAACTACTGTGTACTAAAATGTGTATCGAGAAAGAATAAACTGGTTTAATCAAGTAAGGACTTGTATCACTGAAGTTCCTTGGAATGAATTTCCACCGGAAATTAACAAACAAGCAGATACGTAACAATACCTACAAGTTGTTGCGTTACATCTTACGTATCCTAAACATTACGAATAAATATACCTACAAGCTGTTACATTATATCTTATATATCCTAAACATTACGAATAAATATACCTAAAAGTTGTTACTTTCATTCTTCACAAAAGACAATGCTATAGATTAAAAAATATTGATTTCATAAATTCTCCTACACAATTGTGACAAACATCACAAACCTGAACCCTGCAGATGCCAGTGAAAATGAACTCAGAGGTTGAAGGATTGATCCAGATGATCCTACCACATGAGGATACAGTAGAAAATTGTTTGGATTCTTTGCAACATAAACAGCTAATAAAGTTTCCTAAAAACATGGATAGTTAAAATATTAAAATAAAAATTAAATGCTGAAATAAAAGGCACTTTTCAAACAATTTATTATTACCTAGAAATTCAATATAAATTTTTCAAAAACAAACCACTATTTGTCAATTTTTTCCAGAAAAACTAAGACAAATAAAATGAACATATCAGTGTTCACTTTTTTTATATATTCTAAAATAAATTGTTTAAAATAATCAACAGACATTATCTCTGATACAAGATGACCATGGCTGTTTGGACGCCTGGACAAGGTACACCATTATCTCCGATACAAGATGACCATGGCTGTTTGGACGCCTGGACAAGGTACACCATTATCTCCGATACAATACGACCATGGTTGTTTGGACACCTGGACAAGGTGCATCATTATCTCTGATACAAGATAACCATGGTTGTTTGGAACGCCTGGACAAGGTGCATCATTATCTCTGATACAAGATAACCATGGTTGTTTGGAATGCCTGGACAAGATACACCATTATCTCTGATATAAGATGACCATTGCCAGTCAATTCTGGTTTAGTGTAATCATGAGATTGGGTCAGAAAATTACAGCTGCAAATGGACAACATGTCAGTGTACTTGGCTACCAACAGACATCACTAAAGTAACCTATGAATAGGTTCTGTTTATAAACTGATGAAGATCAGCACAAGCAGCTCAAAACATTAACCAAAACTTTATAGCTAGGTGTAGTTGATTAAAAATGCCTTTCAGATATACCTTCTTCTTTCTAAGCCATCTATCAAGCAAGGATATTTTTTTTTTTTTTATGTTCATATGGTTATAGGAAAGGTTTCTACCTACATGAATGCTGACTTACATCCTACAACAAAAGTCGAATAAATATGTTTCATACCAGTTTAAAGTACTACAAGATAATACAAACCTGTAAAGGTCTTAAAGATGGCATCTTTAAACCACTTAGTATCTCTTGGCTCAGGCCAGAATGGACAAGCTGTGATGTAAGATGTGCAGGACACCAGACTTCATTACCCAATTCACAGTCTGTAAGACTAGTAAAATCAGGTCCTAGGCTGGACAGATGAAAACTCAGTTCTTTTGTCAGAACTACATCTATAAAAGACAGTTAAAATTAAATACAATTACTCTAAAAATGATTTTATCGCTACTGAATATATACTCTTTTTTTAAATTAAGTATACATATACTTCACTATACATTAATGTGAACATATCCAGGAAACTACCAACATCATCCTACTTCACTATACATTAATGTGAACAAATACAGGGAACTACCAACACCATCCTACTTCACCATACATT